AGCCGTTCATCCTTTCTGCGATCTTGTTAAGGTCGATGCCTCTGGTCAGGTTCATGCTGCGGGAGTGGATGCGGAGGATATCCGCTCGCGCCTCCGTTGTTGGAGGAGGGAATTCGATTTTGCGATCAATGCGGCCGGGACGAAGAAGCGCGGGGTCAAGGATGTCCAGTCTGTTGGTTGCCATGATGACTTTGATGTTCTTGGTGGGTTCGAAGCCATCGAGCTGGTTGAGGAGCTCGAGCATGGTGCGTTGGACCTCGGAGTCGCCGCCAGAGGATCCGTCTACGCGAGAGGAGCCGATGGAGTCGATTTCGTCCATGAAAATTATGCTTGGGGCGTGTTCGCGCGCCATGACGAAGAGTTCGCGCACCATGCGGGATCCCTCGCCAATGTACTTTTGTACCAGCTCTGAGCCGCTGACGCGGATGAAGTGGCAGTCTGTGTGGTGCGCAACGGCGCGCGCAAGGAGGGTCTTGCCTGTTCCTGGGGGGCCGTAGAGCAGCACACCTTTGGGCTGCGCGATGCCGAGAGATTCAAAGAGTTCTGGGTGTTTCAGACCCAGCTCGATGACTTCTTTAATCTGCTTGATTTGCTCATCTAGTCCGCCAATCATGTCATATGTGCTGTCTGGCACCTTTTCCACCATCATGAGCGACACTAGTGGGTCTACCGACGACGGTAGCAAGGAAGAGAGCTTGTAGGAATCGGAGAGAAGGGTGACACGTTTTCCGGCGGTCAGTTGACTGATGTCGATACTGTCCGCAACGTCGACGACTGGTATATTGTCAGTATAGAATTCGATGTATGAAGATGCTGTACTGACCGTATTTCCCCTCGGGATGAACCTTGACCAGCACCTTCTTGGACCCCATGACCTTGACTACCTCTCCAACATAGCTCCCCGGCTGCTGTAAAAGGCCCAGCTCCTCGCGCAATAACCGTACCCGGCTGTTGTATTCGTTGCGCTGTGCCTCCAGACGCCGGAGAACGGCCTGACCTTGCCTAATCTCGATTTTCATGCTCTCAATCTTGTTATGGAAGAAAGTGTCGAGCGCCATGGTGTAAGGTGTCTGAAAGATGTCGCGGGCTGTAAAAAGAGCCGCGTTGGCAGCGGTGCTCCCAAAGGTTTAGCGGCGGAACGGCCCGCAGCCAGCGGCGAAGCAAAACGTCCTCTGAACTGCGACTTCATCGAACAATTCAAAAATGCCCCGACCGATTCCCTCATCGCGCGCCATCGGCACCACTCAACGCGGCGGCGGAAGCTTCACGGATAAGGCCCGCGAAATGGCCGAAAGCCCCGAGTACAGGAACATTGCAAAGTCAATCGCCTTCTTCGCCGTACGTTCGACACCGTCACCCAACAGGCGATTCTAACGGCTTGTATAGGTCGGAGTTGCCTTTCTACACAGCAGCTGGAGCGAGCTTCTACTGCCTCCGTATGTCTCACTCAAGAACGACTGCAACAAGTACTGACAGGAATAGGCTTTAAATAATGGAAGAAGCGTGCTGTAAACATATTGTAATTGACTAATATATCTCAACGAACAATGCCCAAAGCAAGTGTATCATTCCGGTCAACGCCCATGGTGGCCTGTGTCATGTTAGCTCTCTCCCGTTCGTGCAGGGCGTTGTCCATACCGTATCAACGTAGCCACTGAAATAGAAGCCCACCGTGACAACGAGGTAAGTAAAGATGAGCAGGCTGCCTTTGAAGTAATTGCTCTTCCCTTCGCCGAAGATCCATCCCATGAGGATGACAGCCAAGATGACGGTGACCATGTCCCACTGTGGGAACAGTAAGAGAAATGAATGCTGCATCGGGTCTGGTGGGTGAAAATAGTAGCCAAAGAGGGCAGAGAACAACACCAGACATGGAATCTGCAGAAGCATGACTTGCAGCGCGTAAGAGGAACCGATTTCCATCGACAGCGCCACGTTTCCGTTCATAGCGAATGAGATGGCGTTAAGAAACTCGGTTGTGTTGGGGACGAGAGAGAATAGGGAGATGCCGAGGAACTTCTCGTCAATGTCCGAGTTGCTCAAGACGACGTCGACAGTGCCTACGAGGATCTCGGCAATGACGGCGTAGGCCACAGTTGCCGTCAACAAGATGACGGATGATTTCATGCGGGACCAGTTGGGCGCATCATGTCCACCAGATGCGTCGTGGTCGTGCTTGTCTGGGATAGTGGGCGGGCGGCTGGGCTCTGCAGTCCCATAGCCCACGCTGTGTCGTGTACTACCGACCGATTGACTGCGTTTAGCTGCCGTCGTAGCCATGAGGGCGCTCTTCGCGGGTGCTTTTGTTGCATCCCGGGTTGCTGCCGTTGCCACCGTGGCTGCTGCTTCGATGACTTGTTGTACGAGAGCCCGGTTGTCTTCTGCGCTCAGCCCTGTAATCTTCCTCGCATCCCCCTCTGGTGTTTTAGGCGGGACCATGTATGGTGGCTGATCCTCGGGCTGCTTCGGTTTTACGACGCCAGCTTGCTTGAGTCCTTCCTTTACGAGTCGTTTGTACATTTGGCTGTCTTTGATGTTGTCTCGAGACAGCCTCTGTTCACCAGGCCTCGCTTTCAATGGGTGATGCCTTTCTTCCCATCGCCTCATCGCTTCCTCCTTGATTGCCTCTTTCTTCTCATCTGGTTCGTTGCTCCAGATGATTGCTGCATGCGTTCTGAGCGTGAAGAGCAGCCCGATGATATAGCTCAGGAAGAGACAAATTGCCGAGAACCAAATATAGGGCTGGACAGCATCCAGGAAGAAGCGATCATTTATCAATGGCGTCTGGTCAAAGTAACATCTTCTACAATCTTGCTGGTCCTTTGAACCGATATGAGAACACTGTCGGCACTTTAGTTCGTGGGTGCCATAAATTTGGTAGAAGAGTGTGGGCCCGAAAGCACCAATGACGGCGAACAGGAGCATATTGGATGTGACTCCAGCGGACTTGACATTGAACCGCTGGGTCTTACGACGGATGGCGCCAAAGCACATTGACAGCCCGGGCAGGAACAGAATACCTGCGAAGATCGAGCCAATGACACTCCCCTCCACCAGCTGCGCCTTGCCTTCTTTCAAAGCAACACAGTAGAGGAAGACTTCAACGACAGTGCTGAAAAACGCATTGATGGTTGCACCCACGCCCATGGAAGACTGGGCCGAGATGGACGCAACAGCCTGGCCAATGAAATAGGCCAACGGGATAACTGATGCAAGGGACATTGTGAATATCAGTCCCAAATTAGTGAACCAGGTTCGGAAGCCCAGGGCTTCATAAAGCACAAAGTAGTCGATAATGGCAAAGACGACGAGGCCAAGAAGGTTGATGAGGAAGATATTGGTCCCGTCGATGGTGTACTTCCAGTACTTGATGCCCACAGCACGGTAAGTGCAGAGGACAACGGAGCCTCCTTCGCCGGCTCTGGTAGAGCCAGACCCGAACCGCATCGCCAGCGGGTGACGACGAAGGTGGTAGAAAAGCAACAGAGTCACCTTGCCCATGGGGATGGTGAAGACCAAGAACCAGCAGATGGCGCTAACGACGAAAAGGCAGGGGCCGATTATGGCGTAGAAGGAGAGGAAGAAGATGACTCTGCCAGTGTTCCATTCGCCGCGGCCGAAGAGTCTGTTCTTCGTCTGCATTCTCATCGTCCTTGACGGAGACTCGTGACGGTTCGGCCGACCGAGAAGGCTGTCAGTCTCGTTGGGCGGAGGCTCAACATCTTCGACTTCTTCTCGCCTTCTGCCTACGATGGAATGAGTGATATCTGTAGGTCCAAAGAACAGCCGCCCCTCTTCCAGATCGCCAGTCTGCCATCGCTCGTATTCACTGATGCTCCGGCCTTCGCCTTCATCTTCGTCTAGATATGCCTCGTCCCGCTCCAGCCTGAGGCATTTTCCAAACGGATAGAACAGGTAGCTGGCGAGGTTGAGGAGAACATGTCCGTACTCTAACGAACTTTGAAGGCCGAGCACGGCAGCCACTAGAAGATTGACGATCCCACCGGCTCCAGCCAGGATAGCCAGCCACCAGCCAAACACCAAGGTCCAAAGCCCGTTGAAGAACCACAGCCAGTGGCTCACGTTCCCACCAGGCGCGCTGTGAATGTCTCCCTCAGCATTCGTCTGAACAGAGCGATGTTTCTTGTATAGCGCAGGCTTCCAGATCCTGATACCGAATGGGTGGGTTTCATTGATGGCTTGTTGCCTATCCTTTAGCGTGAAGCTCTCGGCATCACTGAGATCCGGTTCATCGTCGTCATCGTCGTCATTATTATCCCCATCTGGCGTATCCTCATCTTCGTCCTGCTGTTGTGGTTCCTCCGTCATCTCACCACCACCAACCCTTTGTCTGAACTCGCTTCCCGATGCCTGAGCGCGTGGCTCATCTTCGCTTTCAATCATACTCAACGTATATGGCTTCCTCCTCAATGTACTCGCCTTCCTCCTCAGCTGTTGTCTTTCCCGCTGCTGTTCTTCCTTCCTTCTAGCCCGCGCTTGCTGCAGGTCGCCCTCAATTTCCGTAATGTTGTCATCGACCGAGAACTCCTGCCCACGATGGGGTGCGGCAGAGGACATTGTTGCAAGAGAGGGCCGCTGCTGTGGACGCGAAGTGGCCTGTTGCGTGTTGCGACCGGCGGCTCCAAGCTTCTTCGGTTCACCGACTCTGCCCTGCGAATGCGTCGACCTCCGGCGCGGACTGGACGGCGACGAAGGCCCCGAGGCTACGTTTTCGGAATCCGTCATAGCTCCTTATCTTGCCGTGAGACCTGCGCGTGACGGCGAACCGGTGGAGCTTGTGTTGAGCACGTGCACAGCTTGAAAGGGGGTCAGCATTTCGAACAAGAGACGGACCATCACGTAGCTACATATTCCTTCAAGAGACCCGCCACACAAACAGTTTTTCACTGCTTGCATCTCATGCAAGCCATGTTGATCCTATGGGTCGTGTATGAAAGTACTGTAATATGTCAATGTGTCTGTTGGCCTTCATGTCAACGGCCGCCATGGCTTAGTGGTACAGCGTCTCACTCGTAAGCGTGATCATGAGAAGATCGGCGGTTCGATTCCGCCTGGTGGCAGAGGATAATTTTTTCCTCAGCTTTTTATTTTGGCTTCATGACTGCAGCTCGGAAGCACATCCTCACTGTTGGTGATTAACAGAACTGGAGTAATCCATTAATCAAAAAGCTGCAGCAGACCGACGTAACACAGTTATCTGCTCTCCCACGACCATGAACCAACTCTTTACACAGCGAGAAGGACATGGACCAACCAATGGAACCACAACGAGCATTGCCGAAGGAGTGTCACAAGCTGTGCATAACAATCCCACACTCTACGAACAGCTGCTAAGCAATCCACTTTTCACCGGAGGATTCGGATTAGCATGCATAGGCGCAGTAGTGCGATATGGCTCTGTGGGCGTGCGCAGCGCAGCATCACTATTACGTGAGCGAATACTCGTAAACATGGAAGTGCAGCGCAACGACGCAAGTTTCCCTTGGTTCCTCGAGTGGATAACCCAACACCATGCCACCAGACAACAAAACGGAGCGGGCGGATGGATGGAGAGACTAGCCCCACGGCTACACCATCTACAGGCACATACGCGAATGGACGCAATGGGCGACCCCTCGGGGAAGAAGAAGGTCGTATTCTCCCTCCTACCCGGTCTGGGGCGGTCATTCCTCTACTTCCGCGGTGCGTGGATCGCAGTCACCCGCGAACGAGTAGGCAGAGCCTTCGACTCCAACGGTGTGCCGTTTGAGAGTATCCGTTTCACGACACTGTACCGACACAGGTTCGTCTTAGATGATATGTTCCGCGAGGCGCACCTGCGTGCGTCGCGGGTTGTTGAGGGAAAGATGGTTGTGTATACTTCAACATCAGCGATGGGGTGGGCTGTTGATGGACCCCCGATGCCGAGGAAACCTTTCGACTCTGTCGTCCTCGCTCGCAACAAGGCTGAGTTCATCCTCAACGATGTTAAGGGTTTTCTGAGCGAGAGACAGCTGTATCTGAATAGAGGTATCAGGTATACGAGGGGTTACCTCCTTCACGGTCCGCCGGGAACGGGAAAGACATCGTATGTTGAGGCTCTCGCTGGTGCACTGGAATATAATATTGCCATGCTTTCGTTGAGCCAGCGCGGTTTGACCGATGATAGGCTTAAGCTTCTCCTTCGGAACCTGCCGGCTGATACTATCGTGCTGCTAGAGGATGCGGATGCGGCGTTTAATAATAGACGGCAGGCTGATGGCGATGGGTATGCTGGGGCGAATGTCACCTTTTCCGGGCTGTTGAATGCGTTGGATGGTGTGGGAGTCGGTGAGGGAAGGATCGTTTTCATGACGACGAATTTCATCGATAGACTGGATCCTGGGCTTGTGAGACCGGGTAGGGTTGATAAGGTAATTGAGCTCGGTAATGTGGATACAGACCAGGCTGCTAGGCTGTGGGAAAGGTATTACGGGGAGAAGGATGTTGATGGGAAGATGAAGGACGAGTTTGTGCAGAGATTGGCAGACTTGGACCTCTTGGGCAGTGTGAGTCCTGCTCAGATACAGGGGCTTTATCTGGATAACAAGTATAACCCGAGAGGAGCGATTGAGATGGTGGAGACACTCAAGAAATCTCGATAGACGTTGTGGGCTGTATATAATGTACTGTAATCCAAACTCGTGTAATTCTACATGTACAATAAGAGATGGATGGATCCCGAGATAGAAGTGATTTAGTCGCATCAGAATGTCGTAAATGATTCTGTCGAGTCTATACAAAATTAATCTCTACCCGAACTCTTCCTCTCCGTGCTTTTTCGGTGGAATACCAAACTCGCAAGCTGCTTTTCTTGCTTTCCACCTCAAATCAAAATTTTCGAAATTTTAAGGTTTTTCGATTTTCCTCTTGGGCGGCTCACAAAACCATAATGATACAGTCTGGCCCATATTTGAGCTCATAATCTGGCAACTGTCTTCGTTTATCTTAATCCATCCGTCCAAGATGAGGGACCAGTCCATCTCGAACAACTGTTTTCCTTGGAAGTGCCCAAACGTGACTCGAATAAGCTCGTGCCGGCGAAAAGGCTGCTATACGCATTCTCTGGTACAATACACACTTTTATCCATGGTGCGAGGTATTTATACTTTTACAAAACAAGCGCCCTAAACTCCCTTCTAATGCCCAATTAAGGCGAAGTCATCAGCGGCGTGTTCTCATCTACGCTAGCACTGTCAGGCGAATCGTATACTCTGATCTTGACCGTGTTAACGAGCCCCTCGTCGTTTGGCATGAAGCGACACGGGGCCACGGGGCGGACTTGATAATGAGGTCCTTTGATCTGGTTTGTGATGGAAAATGCCTGAAAAGCACCAATGACGGCAACCAAGGCACTGGCCCACCAGGCCATGGGGGTAAAGTCGGTTTTGTCGCCCATGCTGTAAAGCAGCCCGGCTATGGGAGAGGCGATAGTTCGGCAGGCGGCGCCAGTGGAAGCTGAGAGGCCGTTGATCTTGCCAAGACAGGAGCTCGAGGTCGATGCCTCTTTGATCAGGATTAACAGGAGTGGGTAGGCGAGGATTGACATGAGGTTGCGGACCACCAGGCATGTGTAAATTCCTGGGTATAATAGGGATGGGGGCAGTAGCACCAGCCATGGCACGATGAAGTAGGCAATTGGGTGTAGGATGGCCGTCATGAGGAAAGATCTCCACACTCCCAGTTGGCTGGCGGCGAAGGGGAAGATGACGGCCTGGACAAAAAGGGCAATTACGCCATTCACGGCAAGTATAATGCCGCATTGCTTGACCGATAAGCCCAGTCCACCGGCAAATGAACCATTTTGGTTGCCAAAAGCACCATTCTTGGTCGTAAGAGGTGATGAATTCGTATGCACACCGGGAACTCGCTCGTCCTGGAAAAAGATGGGCATCAGATGATCGTAGGTCATACTGTGATAGGTAAAGATGCCAAGAGCAAGCATGAGCATCATGATGCGTTTGGTAAAGACTCGACCGGAGTTGCCTTTTAAGCTCGGTGGCCGACTTGTGCCATCACGCCGCAAGTTCCACTCCTCCCCAACGTCTTCATTGACTTCTGTAAAAGTACCATACGTCTCGGGGCGCTCTAAATTAACAGCTTGGTACTGGGTACTGCCTTGGGCGCTATAAGGCGTTACGGTATCCGTGTGTTCAAGGTCTTCCTTGGTGCTCCACGGCTGCATATCGGGGTGAGTTTCTTCCAGTGTCAGATACCCAATGACAATGGACACCAGCATCAACGAAGCGCAAATCAAGTTGGGCAACGCATATGGGAACCTGCGGAAAAGGGGAATGTCTAGGAAACTGCCGGGAAAGCTCTCAGCTGGACTTGCAAAGTAGCCACCCACAGCCGGCCCAACAATGATGCCAACGCTCCACACAAATGGCATGACAGCGTACGCTTTCGGTTCGTGGGCGGGATTCACGACTATCTCCGCCACCATCGTTTGGATAACACCTACATTCCCATTCAGTGCCCCACCGACTATGCGCCCGGCCAGTGTCATCCAGAAATTCACTGAGAACCCAATTGTCAGCAGAGTCAGAATGGTGCCGAAGCAACCAATGAAAAGTACAGGACGACGTCCCCATCGATCAGACACCCCGCCCCAGAAGCTGCACCTGTTAGAACATATGGTAGTTGAACGTCTTGATGATACCTACACTCCAGATATGGCTTCGGCCAAGTTAAAGGCAGATATCAAGATCCCGGCATAGAATGATGCATCTGCGGGATCACCGACTTTAAAGTCCAGCACTAGCTGCCACGCATATGGAAATATGGACGTGATGGCGATTGGCTCAGCCACCCTTATGAGGGCAAGCAAAGCCAACTGTGCTGTCGGGAATTTATTCGGATCACGGCTGATCCGTCTCTGAAGACGGCTGCCGAAGTTGACGTCTCCCGGGCGACTGTGTCCATGATGAGCTTCTGTTCCCAAATCAGAAATTTCACGGGACAAGACCATTTCCTTCCGAGCGCCGTCTGGGTTTGGTGCAACGATGCAAATGTGGCGTGAAGTTGGAAATTGACATAGCGGGGGCGGGACGACACCAGCCGCTAACTGAGTCAGGCTAGGGCAATCTGGACTAGCCCCACCACACACTTGCCTGCTGGAATAAAAAAATAAAGGTCAACAGCGGTTGACAGTATGGCGGGCAAACAAGATGATTCCATGGCTGCGCTGTCCCATAGCGAAGCACATTACTTCAACAGCTATAACCACCATGGAATCCACGAGGAGATGTTGGTCGGTGAGCTCTTCAGGCGCATTGGATAAATTTTGACAATCAAATACAGAAAGATGAAGTGCGGACCAAGAGCTACCGCGATTCAATCTACAACAACAAACATTTATTCAAGGACAAGATCGTCCTGGATGTTGGATGCGGCACATCCATCCTCAGCATGTACTGAACGAGTTTTGGAATGCGCTGGTCGTTGGAGCTGACGGCCTTGTGCAGGTTCGCCGCAAAGGCTGGAGCCAAGCACGTTATTGGCGTCGACATGTCCTCCATCATCGTTAAGGCGCGAGAAATTGTTGAGGTCAATGGCCTAAGCAACAAGATTACCCTGTTGCAAGGGAAAATGGAAGAGGTGACACTTCCTTTTCCAGAGGTTGATATCATCATCTCAGAGTGGATGGGATATTTCCTGCTCTATGAAAGCATGATGGACACAGTCTTGTGGGCACGAGACAAGTATCTGCGCAAAGACGGCAAGGGCCTGATCTTCCCGGATAAGGCGACCATATATCTGGCCGGTATCGAGGATGGTGACTACAAGGATGAAAAAATCGGCTTCTGGGACAACGTCTACGGCTTCGACTACACGCCGCTCAAGGCAACGGCGTTGACGGAGCCTCTTGTGGACACAGTCGACCTTAAAGCGGTCGTGACGGATCCCTGTGCTGTTGTGAGCTTCGATCTTTACAAAGTAACTCCCGCACAGCTTGCCTTTTCCTTGCCCTTCTCATTGAAGGTGCGTAGGACAGACTATCTGCACGCGCTGGTGGCGTGGTTCGACATTGAGTTTACGG